TTAAAGCTGATACAATTTGCAATATGATTGATTCTTTACATTTTTTCGCTACCTCACTCAGTTAGCGAGATATCTATCTTCCACTATGGCGAATTTTGAAGAAAAATAAATTCAAATCTCCGCCACTTCTTTCTATTACCCCCTTTTCGGGCATTCATTGACTGGACCTGAGGGGACTAAAGCTGTGTAAAACCTCATACATGTACGTTAATATGTACCTCATACAGACACGTTAATATGTAAGAAGATTAAACGACTGTTAAAGCTCAGAGAGTCGAAGTCGTATTTCCCTAATAGTATCTACCGCTCACAAACTAAGTGCTTTTTATCTTTTCAATGCTTTGTTTTCGGCTAATTTAAGTATTTAATAACAGAAATAGGATGTATAAACATATTACATAGCTCTTATATATTCTGTTGATATGCATAACAATCATCACTAAATTAAGGACCCATATGCATTTTAAAATCCGAGCGGTCAGACAACAGTTTGCTCATTCGCATATTACAACTCTAATTAAGCATGAATTATGTGAAGCTGCCAACGTTCTCCTTTATTTAACCAACGAATAGATGTATACTTACAGATAGTAAATAGTATTGATATATTTTTCTTTTTTAAAGAGCACTGTTTTAACTCCAATTCGCTTACATTTTATTCATTACCCTTGTTTGATTCTAATATAATGGCCAGGACTGTTATTGACTGTGACAAGTGGATAGATATAGGGTATATAACGATATAAATATAAAGATGGTCCGGTCATCTATAACAATTATACATTATAACAACGAAATTTACCAGGTCTCTTAAGGTCGTTATATTAATCCTCTGTGTATTAATTCCAATTTAAAAAGAATATTTTCGAATTTACAAAAATTCCCTGACTTTAACAATTTTTCCCTGACTTTTCTCGGTTTTGAAAATTCCCTGACTTTTCCAGGTCGGTCGCCACCCTGTAGGTGTACCCATCCGGTAGAACATCATCAAATGATCATACATTTAGAATATTAATAATTTTTTTTAAATATATGACAAATGGCAATCCTGACTAATTTTGTTTATTATTTATTTGCAGCAAAATACTTAAAAAATTGAAAGATAATTTACACAGATGATAGCCAAAGAAATCAATTTAAGTGTTTTATTATATAAATGTTTTTCAGATATATCTATAAAAATTCAGCAATAAAAATCTTAAATAGTGGATTTTATAAAATATCACTAGGAAGGACTATTCTTGGATCAGCTACATGGTTTACAATCAGCTGATTTTTGTTTTTGTTCCACTTTGTTTTTTAACATAAACAGTTTTCTTTCCTGAGATGCAACTTGAGCTCGCAAATCTGAAATTTCTTTAATATTATTATCCAATTCACTGTTTCCTTCTTCCTCCATTTTATAGTATTCTGAAGTAAGCTGATGAATCTGATCATGCAGCTTGGCTATTTTTCCTTCAATTTTATCACTTTGGGCTTGACTTTCCTAAAAAAGGAACAATAAAATAATTTTAAAATAATCACTAAGGTTATGTGGTTTAAGGATTAGTTAGGATAAATAAAACATAAATTTACTGCACTGATTAATTTATAAACGATTTATGGTAAAAAGTGTTTGAAAAACTTCAAAAAGTCCATTTGTTTTTTGTGCTTCCTTTGCAGAAAGCACACCTTGCAGAAATTGACAGAGACACAAGCTTGGGCTGTAACTTCGACAACTATCTTAAAAATTATTACTGAAAGTCCTTGAAATGAATCATACAAGAGTAATTTTTTCACAATCATTACGACCAATACTGGAAATTATCATGAGAGCAAAAAGAAATTGGAAGAGAGAAACACTATATAGCAAGAAGCTGATATTGTGTAAGATATTGTGGTGCAGAATGGATAAGAAGGAAATGTATAAACTATAAATTTTTTTAGACACTGTTGGATTAGTTGGAGTGGAGTAACTGGGTCATGATTTTATATGACCTCCAATTACCTTAATAAAACTGTAATTTAGAAAAATAAACGATTTCTTAACAACAAAGTTTTGCATTGCATGATTCTTTAACAAAAAACAGACTAATGTATAACATTCCTTTTAGGTAAATTTTTCAGATTGTTTATAAATCAATTAGAAAGGAAACTAGAGAAGAAATTGTGCTTAAAATTTTTGAAAAATGATATTCATTATATTTAACTATTATTAGATGAATAGTTGGATGTAGTTATCAATTTTCAACAATTGTAACTACAATTTAGTCTCTATTTTCCTTAGAATTTAATTTTATATTGTAAGTAATTTTAGTGGGGCAATAATTATTTTCTGTGGATTCTAAGTAGATCTGTTATTTGTTTTGGTTTATCATTTTCAATAATGAACCACTGTGATCGACCAAAAAATTCAAAAGCTTAAACCCCTCTCAAAATTTGAGGTTTTACGTTTCAGGATATGTAGAATCCGAAAAACGAATAAAAAGACGTTTGTCCATCCGCCGTACGCCGTCCGCGCATTTTCTCCGAAAATACTGGAAAGATTTTTTTCAAATTTGGATTTAAAATTAGAGATCACCCGAAGATGATCCTCCTATCCATCTTTTCCTTTCATAAAATTCCTTAAGATGGCGACCGAAAAACTGCGTTGCTAGAGACTGCGTTGATAGTAGCGCCTAAACGAATGTACCGATTTCAATGAAACTTCGCTAAAGTCTACTTCTCGACGCACCTTTAAATTTATCTATATAACATACTTCAGCGAAAAGAAGCTGGACAAAAAGTTATGAGGGATGGTAAAATAAATTCCGAATAACACAAAAAGTATACACTTTTTTGTCGATAATGTTATTTAAAAGTTTACGGAAATTAGTAATGCAGTAATCTGCAGTAATCTACTGCAAAGATTATATCCTTTGTTTTGAATTTTGAATGTGTTACTGAAGTAATGCTTTTTTTTTTTTTTTAGCATATTACTACTGATTAAAAAAATGTTTAGTCCAATAATTTGAATCACCTTTTATTTATTTGTCTCTGTAACTAGGAAGGTAATGTTACTTTAGATGTATAATTGTTTGCAAATAATAAACCATTGTGAAATAATTTGCAGCGTTTTTTTCAATAGATTGCATGAATATGTGAAAATAAATGATCAAAATATTGCTAAAATTAAGTTCTATATGTACTGAATGGATCTTAAGATCCTAAGTAAAAGAATATGTATGTATGTATGTTTGTATGTATGTATGTATGTATGTATGTATGTGTGTGTATATATATATATATATATATATATATATATCCTTAAGATCCTAAGTAAAATAATATGTATGTATGTATGTTTGTAGGTATATATGTATGTATGTGTATATATATATATATATATATATATATATATATATATATACATACATACATAAGTCCCATATCAACGATTATGGTCCCGATAACATCCCCGTCAGACTGATTAAAGCCGCACTGCCATCCATTTTTCTGTTCCTTTACCATATTTATAATTATTCTCTTCAAAATGCTACCTTTCCTACATCCTGGAAAACCTTTAAAAGCTCCTCTCCGGAGACTTCAATACCAATTTAATGATATCATCCTCTGCCCAATTTTACCTGACCAGCCTCCTCCAATTCCTCAGCCTTTATGTAGAACCCTATAATCCTTCCCATCATATCCGGTCCTCAGAGTCCTGGCTTGATCTCTTTATCTTGGATTCCCTGGATAAACTCTTCGCAGCATCGCAGCGCCCGGTTCCGTTTCTGTCTTCCCATGATCTTATCAAAATATTCTACAACATCCCAGTCCCATTTTTTCTTCTCGAATTATATCCTTCCAAAACCTCAAATTCCTTACCTATGAAGCTCTGTCGCAGGATCTCGACGCTGCCCATTGGGACCCCATCTATTCCTTAAAATCCATTGACGCCATGGAAGAAATCCTTACCAACTATCTTCATGCCATCCTCAACTGTCATACTTCTCTCCTAACTAAAACCATCCGAAATCCCCCTGCTCCTTGGCAGACACCTACTCTAAGAGATGCTGCAAGAAAGCAGTTTAAACGGACCCAACTCCCGGAAGACAATATCGCCTTCAAGCAACTTCGAAACATCACTCAGTCTGCTATACGCCAAACCAAATCCCGTTATTTCCATCTCTCCAAGGCCAAGTGGGCTATCCTAAAAAAACTGACCATTTGTAACACACCTGAAACTCAGTTCAGTTCCTTTCCTTCTGCTGACGACTTTATCGCTGACTTTGTCTCCGGCCCTTTTAATTTTAACCTGATCACTCTTTTTTTCTTCTTGACTTCTCCAAAGCTTCTGATTCAGTAGACTACAACATCTTCCTAACCAAACTAAAAAATATCTCCTTTTCTTCTAGTGCCCTTAATTGTTTCCAATCCTTCCTTACCGATCGCTCTCAGTATGTTGTAATCCATAATAGCCCCCCATTGGATTCTCTACCCTTGTCCAGAGGCGTCCCATAAGGCTCTTTCTTATCTCCCACCCTTTTCAATACCACCTGTATACCGACGACGTTCAAATTTACCTCTCCTTCAATCCGACCGATTCCGATTCGGATTTGATATTCACGAGCTTTGTTCATTGTTAAAATATGAAAGTTTTTCATTTGCTTATTGCATATTTGGTAATTCGTAATTTAAAAAAAAAAATCGATAATGTGCAAACTGAACATTAATATCACTATTGTTAGCGCGAATTAATTAATTAGAACTAATTACTAGCATAAGAACTAATTTGTTTCTATATGATTTATTAGTATAATTTCATATGTTATTGCTTTGTACTATTTTCCATCATAGCAGACTGCTTATATTAGTTGCAGACTACAAAATGTCCCTTTTAGGAAGGATAAATAAAACAATATTTACATACCGCTGTATGTAAAAATATTTACATAGTTGGAAATATTTACATACGGCCTTTTGTACTTACAGTAGTCATGGATTCAATACAGGGGTGCCTAGAAGGGGGTTATGAATTTTCAAAATGAAGCATGGAATGAAGTTGAAGTATGGAACAGACCGCAGTATGTATAATTGAATATCATCTATGAATATTTAAATTATACTTTCGTTTGAACTGGTTTTAAAAAGAGGAGGGATATAAAATATCTTGGGAGGGGTGGGGAAGATCTCCATATAATTAATAGGAAAAATTAGACTTTTTGATTGTTCCGAATTAACTCTAATATAAATTATGTGTGAAGTTTAACTTTGATATTTAAGGATGAAATCGATACCACGACGAGCTAGTTGAACTTCCATAGAAATAAACATAATCACAAATAAGAATTTTTTTAATACAAACTCAGAGTAAAAATTAATTTAAATTCACTGAAAATTATACGAAATCGAAGTAATGGCAGTAGGTGTCATGCCAATATTATTATTATTATTATACATAAATATTATTAATATTATTATACATTTATATTTATTATTAAACAATCCAGGCCATCAAAAAAATAAATAAATTATATCTTTGCTATAATTTATTGTAGTTATTTTTGCTGAAAACACGGGAACTATTAGGTTACACGATTTAAAATTACATAATTTTTTTCCCCCTAATAAACCTCAACTTATTAATATAAATCTTATTAAACGGGAAATTTTTTCTATAAGTGGGATATCTGTAATATATTTGGAGGGTGATAAAATAAAACATTCATGATTTTTTAATTTAATGGCTTAGTTTAGCCATTCAAAAGTCCTCTTTAAGTGGTTTTAACAATAAAAACTCTATTTTAGTTTGAAGTAAATTTTATCTACTTGGCTAAGACAGAACGTGGCTTAGTTTAGGCCAGGGGTCTCCAAACAACGACCCGCATGCACCTAGAATCCGGCGGACTGAGTTTCTTTGATTTCATTATACAATTTTAAAAGCTATTTAAAAAATATGAAATTTAATTGATCACTCAAAGACTACGTTACTACAAAATTTATTGCATAAGTTATTTCTCGTAGAAAGCTTATTTCACAACTGAAGTATCATTTATAGAACATGCATTTTTTTTTTTCATCACAAGCCATGGATGGCCACGGGATTATGTGACTTAATATTATTATTATTATTACCATTTAGTCACTGTATTAGTGTAAGTCTCAATGCGGCCTGCGGGGCTTAGTGTAAATCTTAATAATATGGCCCATGGGCCTAAAAGTGGAGACCTCTGGTTTAGGCGGTCGAAAACCCTCTATAAATGATTTTAATAACGACAAACCCTACTATCATTTTAAATACATTTTCCTAGTTTACAATGAAGTAATTGATAATTACTTATGATAAATATTTTTTTTAGTCATTTACTATTCAACAAAAACGAGATTAACTTTAAAAAACACAATATTTAAATTTCCCACTTTTCTGCCAAATATCTGACCAATGTTTATGTAAACTTTTTTGTAGTTCTTGAGGTCTTCTATCACTCCTATAAATGTTTCCCTCCAATTAAGGAACCCCCTGTAATATACACACCTATTTGTAGTTGGCAAAGGACAAAGGAAACTCTGTAATGGCTTCACTCCTGGACAAAGGAAAAGAGCTTCACTCGTGGACAAAGGAAAAGAGCTTTACTAGTTTGTTTGAATCTTGTGTTTGGATTAGTTCTGCCACAACTGTCGCGATTATAAGAATTATAAACATATTTGATTTATTCTAATGTTAAGATAATAATTGTATGTGACCATTATAAATTGATTTAATATAAGTTTAGGTGGCTGTAGTTTAAATATGTTTATGCTAGATTGTACTAGTGACAGTGATTCCAGTGGTGTAGAACAGGTTAATTAAAGTAGTTTACTTATTGAATGAAACTTTTAATCTTTATATGAATCTTTAAAGCATCATATGTTTGTGCAAGATGGAGTCAACAGCTCAGCATATCTCACATTTGTCAAGTGTTCAGATTAAGGCAGAACCTGATTCTGTTGAAACTCCTAATGGGACCACATTACTTGCTGTTCTTCAAGTCTTACAGAAATACAATCTCAAAGAAACAGAGGATCAGTTAAAAAAAGAAGCCAAAGTTTCTGATGTCCTTAAACAAAGGTCTGATTCAAAAGTAAGTAGTGTTCTGTCAACCCACAAGTCTGAAGGAAATGCCGATTTATATGAAGATGCATTTATGGACTTGAAAAAATTTGTTGATTCTTCCTTCGATGCTTTTAAGCATGAGCTTGGAAAGATACTCTATCCAGTATTTGTACATATGTATCTCGAATTGGTTTATAATGGCCATGAAGCAGAGGCCATTAAATTGATGGAAAGATTTGGGAAAGATCAGGAACATTATTACAGAGAAGATTTGCAACGGCTGTCCATGTTTACCAAAAGATATCAAATAAATGGAAATGAGATTACTGAAATTTTTAGGTCGAATGAGTTTATGATAAGAATATCTAGAGACACTCTAGCTACATTAAAAAGGCATTTATTAAAGAAAAAACAAAACATTATTTTAAAAATTATCCAAGAGCATCTCCATTTCGACACGTATGAAAGAGTAGCTCGAACAAACTCTCAGATTGATTCAGTTGCTGGTTCAGTGATTGGCGAAGCTACAAGGCAAGAAAATAAAGCCAAAGTATATTATGGCCTTCCAAGAGAGCCTGATTACCAATACACTGTCATTGAAGATGATGAAGGTGGTGATAAACCTAAGAAGAAGAAACCAAAAAAAGAATCTCTTTTTAATAAGAAATTTAAAACTGATCCTAATGCTCCACCCATGGATCAAATTCCGTTTCCTGAACTGAAGAATAATGACAAAACTGAAAAGATCAAAGCATTGAGAGAAGCTTCAAAAATGGTGAACTTAGGAGTTGATAGTTTACCATCCATTTGTTGTTATACATTGCTTAACTCAGCTCAGAGTGTCATTTGTGCTGAAATATCAGATGATTCAACTATTTTAGCAGTAGGGTTTTCTAATAATAAAGTGAAGGTTTGGAGTCTACTGACCCAAAAGCTCAAAGCAATGAAGTCAGCGGACCAGTTACAAGACATTGACTATGAAGCAGAGAATGTTTGGGCGCGAATAATGGATGAGAGAAATGCTGAATCTTCCCGAGTACTTTATGGTCATTTGGGTCCTGTTTACAATGTTTCTTTTAGTCCTGATAAGACACTCTTATTATCATGCTCAGAAGATTCAACAGTTAGGCTGTGGAGCCTTCTAACATGGACATGTTTGGTTGCCTATAGAGGTCATGTTTTCCCTGTATGGGATGTCAAATTTTCTCCTCATGGTTATTATTTTGTCACTGCAAGTCATGATAAAACTGCAAGACTATGGGCTACAGACCACCACCAGCCCCTCAGGATATTCTCTGGACATTTTGCAGATGTAGATAAAGTCCAATTTCATCCAAATTGTAACTATGTTGCCACTGGCTCTAGTGATAGAACTATAAGGCTCTGGGATTGTATTACAGGCAACGATGTAAGAGTAATGACTGGTCATAAGGCTGCCATACTAGCTCTCAGTTTTTCTACAGAAGGAAGATTTCTGGCTTCAGCTGGTTCAGATAATAGTCTGCTGTTGTGGGATATAGCACATGGACACTTACTTGCTCAAATGGTATCTCATTCGGGCCCTATACATTGTTTATCATTCAGCAGAGATGGAACTATTTTAGCCTCCGGTTCTTTGGATTGTACTGTGAAACTATGGGATTTCGCAAAATTGGTTGAAGATGTTAATTTAAATCACAATCCAGACATAATAAGTAATACAGTATCATATCTTTTGAGAACTTATGCTACTAAATCTTCACCTTTGATTTCATTGCAATTTTCAAGAAGAAATGTTCTCCTAGCTGTTGCCATGTTTGACACAAACATGTGAATTTTAACTTAACCATTTTTTTATTTATTTTATTTTAAATGTAGTTGTATTTAATCACGCTCAGTCAATTTTTTTAGTACATGTTTGATATGTTACCACTAAATGTTTAGAAGTTTATATTTTATTATGATTCTGTGTATTGTTTAAATTTACCTTCTTTTTTTGTAAGAATAATGTTTTAATAAAAATTAATTTGTTGTATATATTTATAAAACAGATGGGCATTTATAGTGTTTATCTTAGAAAAGTAAGATTATTGTGTATATCAATGTATATCCATCGTTTGGATAGACTGTTAGGGAAAGAAAATGATTTTGTTTTTTTAATAATTATAAATTCCAACTTAATATAACTAACTAAAATTTAAAATTTGTTTTCTTTAATAGCCTTTTTATTTATTTTGAGAAGTTTTACTTCAATATTGAAGTGATCTTTCAGTCTTATTATTACTAAAGATAGAGATATTACAATATTTATACTCTACTATGACTGTCCATGAAGGGCCTTGGCCTTCTTAACAATTCTCCTCTACTCAGAGAAGTCCTATATTTATATGTTTAATTTAAATTTGAGCAACTTGGCCATAATTAACAATTTCATCAAACCTCTAATCTAGTTTTTGCATCCTCGATTTCATTATCTATTAAATGCTCTTCTTCATGTTGACTAGTTTCTGCAGCACTGCCAGTTTCTAATTCTTTTAGTAGTTTTGATTTAATGTCCTCAACTTTTTTCATAACTTCTGAAACACGACGCAACTCTTTTCGAATATCCTGTAATTAGTTAATTTACTATTAATGAAACTATTGGTAACCATTTATACAACCATGAATACAAAACACTCACTTATCACTTATTAATTGACAAGCAAACAGTTTTAAAGATTTAAGAGTATGTGTGTGTGTGTGTGTTTTTTTTTTGTACATTTATTTTTAATTTAAACAACAATGACTATGTATTTAAAAAAACATGAAATTTTTATAATTATTAAAATACTAATAAAAAAATAGTGTAGAATGTATAACAAATGCAGTATATGAAACATTAAAAATAAATAGTCAGTATAAAGACATAAGGTTCTTTTCAAATACTTAAATATTCCATTTATTCATTTTATTCTTCTCTAATTAATTTTTAAACCTATTTTGGGCACATCTTTCTGAAGAGCTAATGACTCTACTTATTTATATAACACCTATTTATACCAAAGTTTAACTTGATCAGATAATCTGAAGTGCTGAAATCTGACTGCAAGATTTGGTTAACAGCTGTAAAAGTAATAAAAAAAAATAATTTAAAAACAGCAGTAGTTTTACAGACAATCTAATTTAATGGATCCCAGAAAAGTGGGACAGCTTCTTTACTGGCATATTTTCTGTGGAAGTGGGAACAAATTGAAAAATGTTTTTTCAGTTTTATAAGGACAGAAAATTGTTAATTGATATAAAACCATCAATGCCTTCCAATAAACCACTGAGCATCAAGATATTATATAGCTATTAAAAATCAAGATATTGCAAAATAGGAAATTCGTTGGATGGGATTTATCAAGAAATCAGTTCACTAAAAGCTTCTTAGAAATAACTCCAACAAAGAATTTACTGAAATGAGTTGGCCATGGTAATGAATGAAAAAAAAGCTATAGCTGTGAAATTCAGATTCTTTATTTTAGGAAAAAATCTGGTGGAGTGTGTGGATCACACAACTTTCACTTAACATTCTACTAAAAGGATAGGCCTACCAGGTTGCAAGCATCCCAAGCTCCTGGTTCAAAACTTTTTGGGCTTGATTCCTATCTGGTTCTGTTAATGTCCTATTAATTTAGTGACCAAGAAATGAATCTTGGTGCTCCTACTGTTTTATTTATTTCTTCCTTCCTCTTCATTTGGCTACACGGTTTTTGCAGAGGTGACAAAGCATATGACATCTCAGCTATTAAACATAAACATTTTTAACACTTTTCATACAACTCTTAGACAATAGCAGCTGTCTATGGAGGGTTAAGTTACCCATGGTCACCTTGTACTCCAGTGATTCTTCAAATATTTAATATCTAAATATTTAATTTCTTAATGATAGTGGATTAATAATTTACTATTTTAGGTATATTAAAGAGGAGTTGGTTGGGGTATTCAGTGAACTGAAGAAACCAGTAAAAATAAATAAATTATATTTATTTTTGCTGACGTTATTTTGGCCCAAGTTTCAGGCCTATATCAGAAATGTTCTCATGAAAGATGCCATAAGACTCCTGATAGCTGTTTTACAGCACCTTTCGTGAACACACACACACACTTGAAAATTTTATGCTTACATTATATCTTTGTAACCCATATCTTGCTTCATTCAGAACCTCTGCACGCATATGCATGACAAACTGGTCATATTCTATTCTTTCTAGATTTACTGCAATCATTTTTTCAGTTTCTAATAGTTTCAGAAATCTGAATATAAAACAGTATAAATATAAGTTAAATAATTCAGTTAAAATATAAAAGGAATGAATCAAATTTAAATTGTAGTAATTTTTATTTTTATTAGTAGTAGAATATGGACTTATTTCTTTTTTATAACAACTTATTCAGTAATATAACTTGCAACATTGGTAGGGAAATACATCAAGGTGATAAATATTCAGGACACAGTCATTATAAAGTTTTTATTGATGCCGACGTTTCAACCCAAATGTGTGGGTCAATATCAGGACATGTTTCGAGCACTGAAGGTATTCAAGTACTGTGAAATACATCAAGGTATCTCATAAATATAGAACATCGAGAATTCAAACTAATAATTTATGTATTATTTTTTTAAAAACCAATATTTCAGTAATATGGACAGAGAAGGACTAATCTATAAACTGTACAAAAGGGGGATCTCAAACCGATTCATAAAAATTATAAGGAATTTATACAAAAATGTTGAGGCTGCTGATTGGTGTTAAGAGGGGTTAAAAACATTTTTCAGATCAGAAAAGGGATTGCGGTAGAGTTGTCTTTTGAGTCCATTTCTATTCTCCTCTTACATATAGGATACAGAAAATGATTCAAATGATGAAATTCTATGAATTAGCATTCATTGCCTTCAAATCTTTACAATTAATGATTAATAATTTTTCGGAATTTTACAAAAAATGGAATCTAGAAATTAATCTGGATAAATCAAAAAGTGGCTCCTAGGTAAAGGCAATATTGAAGTCGTTATCAAATGAATATAAATATTTAGGGATTATATTAAATAGTTACCTTTTGTTGAAAAAACATCCGGACTTACAATTGGAAAAGGCAAAAGTGGCTATAAATGTGGTTTGGAAAGACTGGATGATGAAAAATCGAATTTCTTATAACCAGAAAATTAAAGTATTTAATTCAATCATTAGGTCAATCGTTATGTATGCCACACAATTTTGGGGAAGTAAACAGTATTTCCATGTCAATAGGATTGTTTATTACTTTATAAAGAAATTGTTTTATCTACCAAAGTACACTCCCGGATACATGATTTATTTGGAAACACAAATACATATGCTGTTTTTATTTACATTAAAATTACTTCATAAAATTATTAAATATGCAGGAATATATATATTACCCAAGTAGCTAGCTAATGAATCAATTAAAAATAAAATATATTGGTATGAGGACGTTATCAAAATCATTAAAGACCTTTGACCTTTGACGTTTGAATATAAGCTTTGAAAATATTGCAAAATTAAAAAATAAATTAGGTCAAGTTAGAGATATATTAGAACAAGACTACCAAAAATACATCATGGAATTTCATCATTTGGAATATCATTTGCCAAATAGCAAAATCGCACTTCCACAACTGTTGCCTGATGGAAAAAAAAACCTTTAGATCCCACTACACAAGACTGTGGTGCTGGATTGCGTAAGTGGGAAAATGCTAAAAGAGTTGTAACCAACAGTAGATTTGAATGGGTGATTAATTTCTTTTCTCTATTTAAGTCCGTTGGCACAGATGAGATCTTTCCTGCATTACTGCAGAAAGATGATTTTCCATTGAATTTTAGGATTTTCAGTGCTGGAAAACTCTTGATACAATTGGTCCAAGGAGAAATTTTCTGTACAAATTTCTCCTCCAACTTTGTGTTTGGCCTAAGAATTCGTTAATTGTAAAAGTGACAGCAAATTTAATATCGGAAATTGGAAATGTTTTATTTTATGATGGTATGTTCCAAGTCTTCAAGATTAATTGAATTGTTTATATTAAGATGTTCAAAATAAATTATTGAATATATGATTTATTACTAAAAAAAACGGTGCATTTTATGTTTTTTCTTCTTTTTCATTTTGTCTTTCTATTCATTTCCTCTTGGCAGCATTTTTCTGATAGGCAATATTTTGTTATTTCAAAGGAACTTTTAATGGCATTCCAATGCAATTCCATCAGAAATGTAAATATTGGCTTAGGAATTGTTAAGTATACTTAGGAAACTCCTTAAAGACCCTAAAAATATTTTTTAACTTTCTTTCCATTCATCAGATCAAGGATATCAATAGTTTAAAACCATCTGCAGACTACACAGACTATTTAAAAAAAAGAAAGTGTAAATCGCTCCAGCAGTTTATGCGATTAGTTGTTACAAACAAGAAACTGCAATTGCATTTTATGTAATAATGTAGATAATAAAAAAATAGCAATCACTATTGAGCATAATGATTTATAAAATCATTTATAATATAATTGCTTATTAACTGAAACTGCCAAACTACCAAATGTTTCTGAGATGAGTACTCACGCAGTAACAATATCTTCTGGATAGTTATTCTTAAGTCTAACAACATTATGTTCAGAAGGTCTGTCCCTAATAGCTTCAGTTAATAAAATAGGATCCATTTTAGGATGTCTGATTGCACTGGAAACATCCAAAAAAGTAATTTTATCCTTTTCATGCTCAACCAGAACCTTTTCAAGTTGACTTAGAGCCAGCTCCCTTTCTTTTTTTTTTTTTTTTTTTTTAGAAATAGAAATAGAAAATAACTTTATTCTGGGACAAAGTTCCTTTAGAATAACAAAATAGAACATAATTAAAATATTACATCTGGCCAAAATAAAACAATAATAAAAAAGAGAAAGTAAAGAAAATATTAATTAAACAAGCTATATACAAGAAAAAAAAATCTATATACAAAACACTTAAAACTATGATAAAACACTTAAGACTATGTACAGAAGGAAAAATTATAATTATACTCTTTTGAAAAATAAAATAATAAAAAATACATTGAGTTCTTCTTTAAAATGAGGTGTGTTTCTGCTATCAAAGAAAAGACAAAGCTGACAATATAAAATATCAATGTCTTTAAATAATGATTAATATGTAGACTCAAATGTTGTCAAATACTAGAGGTACAGATTTAATTATATACCAATAAAAAATAATAATAAAAATAAAAAAACAAACAATAGATGCGGTGAAGTTCACAGTATAGAATAGCACTATCATTTTATGATGACTAGAAATGTATAATATCGAAAGTTTAGCAAGTATCTGACTGTTTTTGGGATAGGAATTTGAATAGGAGGGATTTGAATGTGGATATGGAGGGGGAATGCCGAATTTTGATAGGTAGAGAATTCCAGAAATTGACAGCGCTAGCTATAAAGGAATTCTGAAATGAGGCAGATCTGTGCGAAGGGATGTAGAGGTCAGAAGATCGAGATCTTGTTGAAAGGGAATGGACTGAGGACTTGAATTGGAGAAGGTTGTAGGCGTAAGAAGGACGATGGTTGTTAATGATTTGATAGAGGAACGTACCTAGGAAATATTGTCTTCTAAAGGAGGGGAAGAGCCACCTTAACTCAGTTTAGTGGTGAGAGACATGGGAGTACCTCGGGGCACCGATAACAAATCTTACACAGCTATTCATTAATCTTTTCAGCCTATCACGGAGCTCCACCGAGAGGCCATCATACACCACACAGCTGTAGTCAAAGTGGGGGAAGATGAGAGCGGAAATTAGGAGTCTACGGGTATGTTGAGGTAGGAGATGGCGGAAGTGATGAAATAGTTTAAGGGTAGAAATTGTCCTACGGGAAATGTGAGAAATATAGTAGTTCCAGGAGAGGGTTTGATCTATGAAAAATCCTAAATTTTTAAAAGAGGAGTAGAAGGAAATTGGCTGGTCATTAAGGTGTAATATGGGATCTAATAAGGGGCTTGGAACCAATGACAATGGCCTGAGTTTTGGCATTATTTAACTTTAATCCATTTACATTTGCCCAGGCACTGATTCGATCAAAGTCGTCTTGAATCTTGGTAAATGCTACCAATAACTCAGAGGGAGAAAAGGATAGGTAGATCTGGGAATCATCTGCATAAAGGTGGTGGGAACAATGGAGGATTGAATTTGAAGGTTGTTAATGTAGGAGCTGAAAAGGAGAGGAGATATGCTTGAACCCTGGGCAACTCCGGAGAATAAAGGAAGGTAGGCAGATAGTGGTTAACTGGGTATGGAGACTGCTTGGGTGCGTTGGGAGAGGAAAGATTGGAACCAGGAGGTGGAACTATTGGAGAAAGATAATGATTTTAGTTTGTTGAAGAGGATGGATTGGTTGATGGAATCGAAGGCTTTGGAGAAGTCGAGGAGTATAAGGACAGTTCATTTTCTATCATCTATTGCAGATTGAATGTCGTTGTTAATTTTAATTAAGGCAGATTGTGTGGAATAGCCGGGACGGAAACCAGATTGGAGAGGATCAAATTGGTTGGAGCTCTCGAGAAACTTAGAGACTTGGGATTGCACCAGTCTTTCAAGAGGCTTTGAGAGGTTAGAAAGAATTGAAATTGGACGGAAATCTTCGGGTGAGGATGGATTAGGCTTTTTATTTAAAGGAACAACAATGGCTTTTTTCCAAGAGGTAGGGAATACTGAATTCTGAAGGGGGAAATTGTAGATAAAAAGGAGAGCTGGAAGGATTTCAGGGAGACATATTTTTATTAATTTGACAGGGATGCCGTCTGGCCCTATGGAATTGGTGTGGGATTTCATTACCACGGTTAACAGGTCTGTGGGAGAAATGTCGGAAAAATAAAAGTTACTGTCGTTAAAGGATATCTCTGGAGAAAAGCCGGAAGAGGAAGGTAGAGAAGAGGTATTAGCGACAGATATAAAATAAGAGTTTAAATCATCGGAGGATACAGGAAAGGCTGCGGTAGGGGATCTGGAAGGATTACAAATGGAAAGTTTACGAAGCAGTAGCCATTTTGATTTGATATCAGGAGCTAAGGAAAGGGTTTCATGGAAGTAGGAAGCTTTCGCACGCCGGATCCTTGTCTGTGCTAAGTTCCGAAGCACCCTGAACATTTAATAGTCATCTGCAAGCCTAGTACGTCTAAGACGTCTTCTTGCAGTGTCGCGCCTCTTCTGCAGATCTTTGATTTCCTGACACATCCAAGGAGCAGGCCGGTGACAAAAGGCAGAGGTTTTGAGGGGAGCATGGGTATTGAGAGTATTGAGAAGATTGGTGGTAAGAATGTCAACCATGGAGTCGATAGAAGAGCAAGCATATAATCCATTCCAATCTAGGGTTTCTAGGTCAGGTAATATTTTTTCTCGAGTAAGGGTATCTAGGTGACGGAAGGTTATAGTTGGAGGCTGGATTGAAGGAGTTCGTATATTATATGTTATTTGTATAAGATCGTGAGATGATAGGAATGGTACAACCTTTCTTCTGCCTTAAAATAAATAAAAATAAAATTTAAATAATTAATATATCTAATTATCACTTGAGTATACTTAATATCCTTTAGTCACTTGTAAATATAATAAAAAATGAAATTATTTAATAGATTATGATTAGTTTGACTAGAAAGTAATATTGGATTTTTCTATATTTGACTAACTTCAAATTGATGAAGTTTTTTTTTTTTTTTATTCCTTTTTCTAGATCATTCTAATTTGGATAATATGCAAGTCAGTAGGCAGATGAGATACATAGTATTTAGTTAGCAATTGAAATATTGGCTGTCAATTCACAATTGTTATTACTTATTTAAACAGATCTACAATCCGGAGTGAGTCATGGTCTGTTGCAGTTTAAATTTTCAATCTATTTTTTGTGGCTGTTCTTTAGTTTCTGTGAAGAAAGATTTTTCTTGCATCTTAGTTTATTTCGGATTTACCTTTTTTTATTTTGTTTAAGGGAAAACAGAATTCTCAACAGATCTATGTCCATCTTGAGTAGTAGATTTTAAATATAAAATTCAATAGGACCGTTTTTGATTTATTTTGAACTAAAATATATCTATCCTGCAATTTTGCTCTAAAATAGATCTGTTTTTGCAATTTAGCACTAAAATTACTATAGTATGTCCCCATTACTAAATCTCTGACAATGTAGCTTTTGTTCAATATATATTTAATAAAAAAGTAACATAGAATTTGTATAATTCTATAGAAAATGAAAAATTCCTTGTTTGATTCTAATATAATGGCCAGGACTGTTATTGACTGTGACAAGTGGATAGATATAGGGTATATTACGATATAAATATAAAGATGGTCCGGTCATCTATAACAATTATACATTATAACAACGAAATTTACCAGGTCTCTTAAGGTCGTTATATTAATCCACTGTGTATTAATTCCAATTTAAAAAGAATATTTTCGAATTTACAAAAATTCCCTGACTTTAACAATTTTTCCCTGACTTTTCTCGGTTTTGAAAATTCCCTGACTTTTCCAGGTTTTTCCTGTTTTCCAGGTCGGTCGCCACCCTGTAGGTGCACCCATCTGGTAGAACAGCATCAAATGATCATACATTTAGAATATTAATAATTTTTTTTTAAATATATGACAAATGGCAATCCTGACTAATTTTGTTTATTATTTATTTGCAGCAAAATACTTAAAAAATTGAAAGATAATTTACACAGATGATAGCCAAAGAAATCAATTTAAGTGTTTTATTATATAAATGTTTTTCAGATATATCTATAAAAATTCAGCAATAAAAATCTTAAATAGTGGATTTTATAAAATATCACTAGGAAGGACTATTCTTGGATCAGCTACATGGTTTACAATCAGCTGATTTTTGTTTTTGTTCCACTTTGTTTTTTAACATAAACAGTTTTCTTTCCTGAGATGCAACTTGAGCTCGCAAATCTGAAATTTCTTTAATATTATTATCCAATTCACTGTTTCCTTCTTCCTCCATTTTATAGTATTCTGAAGTAAGCTGATGAATCTGATCATGCAGCTTGGCTATTTTTCCTTCAATTTTATCACTTTGGGCTTGACTTTCCTAAAAAAGGAACAATAAAATAATTTTAAAATAATCACTAAGGTTATGTGGTTTAAGGATTAGTTAGGATAAATAAAACATAAATTTACTGCACTGATTAATTTATAAACGATTTATGGTAAAAAGTGTTTGAAAAACTTCAAAAAGTCCATTTGTTTTTTGTGCTTCCTTTGCAGAAAGCACACCTTGCAGAAATTGACAGAGACACAAGCTTGGGCTGTAACTTCGACAACTATCTTAAAAATTATTACTGAAAGTCCTTGAAATGAATCATACAAGAGTAATTTTTTCACAATCATTACGACCAATACTGGAAATTATCATGAGAGCAAAAAGAAATTGGAAGAGAGAAACACTATATAGCGAGCAGCTGATATTGTGGTGCAGAATGGATAAGAAGGAAATGTATAAACTATAAATTTTTTTAGACACTGTTGGATTAGTTGCAGTGGAGTAACTGGGTCATGATTTTATATGACCTCCAATTATCTTAATAAAACTGTAATTTAGAAAAATAAACGATTTCTTAACAACAAAGTTTTGCATTGCATGATTCTTTAACAAAAAACAGACTAATGTATAACATTCCTTTTAGGTAAATTTTTCAGATTGTTTATAAATCAATTAGAAAGGAAACTAGAGAAGAAATTGTGCTTAAAATTTTTGAAAAATGATATTCATTATATTTAACTATTATTAGATGAATAGTTGGATGTAGTTATCAATTTTCAACAATTGTAACTACAATTTAGTCTCTATTTTCCTTAGAATTTAATTTTATATTGTAAGTAATTTTAGTGGGGCAATAATTATTTTCTGTGGATTCTAAGTAGATCTGTTATTTGTTTTGGTTTATCATTTTCAATAATGAACCACTGTGATCGACCAAAAAATTCAAAAGCTTAAACCCCTCTCAAAATTTGAGGTTTTACGTTTCAGGATATGTAGAATCCGAAAAACGAATAAAAAAATGTTTGTCCATCCGCCGTACGCCGTCCGCGCATTTTCTCCGAAAATACTGGAAAGATTTTTTTCAAATTTGGATTTAAAATTAGAGATCACCCGAAGATGATCCTCCTATCCATCTTTTCCTTTCATAAAATTCCTTAAGATGGCGACCGAAAAACCTGCGTTGCTAGAGACTGCGTTGATAGTAGCGCCTAAACGAATGTACCGATTTCAATGAAACTTCGCTAAAGTCTACTTCTCGACGCACCTTTAAATTTATCTATATAACATACTTCAGCGAAAACAAACTGGACAAAAAGTTATGAGGGATGGTAAAATAAATTCCGAATAACACAAAAAGTATACACTTTTTTGTCGATAATGTATACATATATGTATACATACCATATATGGTTATTTAAAAGCTTACGGAAATTAGTAATGCAGTAATCTGCAGTAATCTACTGCAAAGATTATATCCTTTGTTTTGAATTTTGAATGTGTTACTGAAGTAATGCTTTTTTTTTTTTTAAGCATATTACTACTGATTAAAAAAAAATGTTTAGTCCAATAATTGGAATCACCTTTTATTTATTTGTCTCTGTAACTAGGAAGGTAATGTTACTTTAGATGTATAATTGTTTGCAAATAATAAACCATTGTGAAATAATTTGCAGCGTTTTTTTCAATCTTCATGCCATCCTCAACTGTCATACTTCTCTCCTAACTAAAACCATCCGAAATCCCCCTGCTCCTTGGCAGACACCTACTCTAAGAGATGCTGCAAGAAAGCAGTTTAAACGGACCCAACTCCCGGAAGACAATATCGCCTTCAAGCAACTTCGAAACATCACTCAGTCTGCTATACGCCAAACCAAATCCCGTTATTTCCATCTCTCCAAGGCCAAGTGGGCTATCCTAAAAAAACTGACCATTTGTAACACACCTGAAACTCAGTTCAGTTCCTTTCCTTCTGCTGACGACTTTATCGCTGACTTTGTCTCCGGCCCTTTTAATTTTAACCTGATCACTTTTTTTTTCTTCTTGACTTCTCCAAAGCTTCTGATTCAGTAGACTACAACATCTTCCTAACCAAACCAAAAAATATCTCCTTTTCTTCTAGTGCCCTTAATTGTTTCCAATCCTTCCTTACCGATCGCTCTCAGTATGTTGTAATCCATAATAGCCCCCCATTGGATTCTCTACCCTTGTCCAGAGGCGTCCCATAAGGCTCTTTCTTATCTCCCACCCTTTTCAATACCACCTGTATACCGACGACGTTCAAATTTACCTCTCCTTCAATCCGACCGATTCCGATTCGGATTTGATATTCACGAGCTTTGTTCATTGTTAAAATATGAAAGTTTTTCATTTGCTGATTGCATATTTGGTAATTCGTAATTTAAAAAAAAAAAATCGATAATGTGCAAACTGAACATTAATATCACTATTGTTAGCGCGAATTAATTAATTAGAACTAATTACTAGCATAAGAACTAATTTGTTTCTATATGATTTATTAGTATAATTTCGTATGTTATTGCTTTGTACTATTTTCCATCATAGCAGACTGCTTATATTAGTTGCAGACTACAAAATGTCCCTTTTAGGAAGGATAAATAAAACAATATTTACATACCGCTGTATGTAAAAATATTTACATAGTTGGAAATATTTACATACGGCCTTTTGTACTTACAGTAGTCATGGATTCAATACAGGGGTGCCTAGAAGGGGGTTATGAATTTTCAAAATGAAGCATGGAATGAAGTTGAAGTATGGAACAGACCGCAGTATGTATAATTGAATATCATCTATGAATATTTAAATTATACTTTCGTTTGAACTGTTTTTAGAAAGAGGAGGGATATAAAATATCTTGGGAGGGGTGGGGAAGATCTCCATATAATTAATAGGAAAAATTAGACTTTTTGATTGTTCCGAATTAACTCTAATATAAAATATGTGTGAAGTTTAACTTTGATATTTAAGGATGAAATCGATACCACGACGAGCTAGTTGAACTTCCAAAGAAATAAACATAATCACAAATAAGAATTTTTTAAATACAAACTCAGAGTAAAAATTAATTTAAATTCACTGAAAATTATACGAAATCGAAGTAATGGCAGTAGGTGTCATGCCAATATTATTATTATTATTATACATAAATATTATTAATATTATTATACATTTATATTTATTATTAAACAATCCAGGCCATCAAAAAAATAAATAAATTATATCTTTGCTATAATTTATTGTAGTTATTTTTGCTGAAAACACGGGAACTATTAGGTTACACGATTTAAAATTACATAATTTTTTTCCCCCTAATAAACCTCAACTTATTAATATAAATCTTATTAAACGGGAAATTTTTTCTATAAGTGGGATATCTGTAATATATTTGGAGGGTGATAAAATAAAACATTCATGATTTTTTAATTTAATGGCTTAGTTTAGCCATTCAAAAGTCCTCTTTAAGTGGTTTTAACAATAAAAACTCTATTTTAGTTTGAAGTAAATTTTATCTACTTGGCTAAGACAGAACGTGGCTTAGTTTAGGCCAGGGGTCTCCAAACAACGACCCGCATGCACCTAGAATCCGGCGGACTGAGTTTCTTTGATTTCATTATACAATTTTAAAAGCTATTTAAAAAATATGAAATTTAATTGATCACTCAAAGACTACGTTACTACAAAATTTATTGCATAAGTTATTTCTCGTAGAAAGCTTATTTCACAACTGAAGTATCATTTATAGAACATGCATTTTTTTTTTTCATCACAAGCCATGGATGGCCACGGGATTATGTGACTTAATATTATTATTATTATTACCATTTAGTCACTGTATTAGTGTAAGTCTCAATGCGGCCTGCGGGGCTTAGTGTAAATCTTAATAATATGGCCCATGGGCCTAAAAGTGGAGACCTCTGGTTTAGGCGGTCGAAAACCCTCTATAAATGATTTTAATAACGACAAACCCTACTATCATTTTAAATACATTTTCCTAGTTTACAATGAAGTAATTGATAATTACTTAAGATAAATATTTTTTTTAGTCATTTACTATTCAACAAAAACGAGATTAACTTTAAAAAACACAATATTTAAATTTCCCACTTTTCTGCCAAATATCTGACCAATGTTTATGTAAACTTTTTTGTAGTTCTTGAGGTCTTCTATCACTCCTATAAATGTTTCCCTCCAATTAAGGAACCCCCTGTAATATACACACCTATTTGTAGTTGGCAAAGGACAAAGGAAACTCTGTAATGGCTTCACTCCTGGACAAAGGAAAAGAGCTTCACTCGTGGACAAAGGAAAAGAGCTTTACTAGTTTGTTTGAATCTTGTGTTTGGATTAGTTCTGCCACAACTGTCGCGATTATAAGAATTATAAACATATTTGATTTATTCTAATGTTAAGATAATAATTGTATGTGACCATTATAAATTGATTTAATATAAGTTTAGGTGGCTGTAGTTTAAATATGTTTATGCTAGATTGTACTAGTGACAGTGATTCCAGTGGTGTAGAACAGGTTAATTAAAGTAGTTTACTTATTGAATGAAACTTTTAATCTTTATATGAATCTTTAAAGCATCATATGTTTGTGCAAGATGGAGTCAACAGCTCAGCATATCTCACATTTGTCAAGTGTTCAGATTAAGGCAGAACCTGATTCTGTTGAAACTCCTAATGGGACCACATTACTTGCTGTTCTTCAAGTCTTACAGAAATACAATCTCAAAGAAACAGAGGATCAGTTAAAAAAAGAAGCCAAAGTTTCTGATGTCCTTAAACAAAGGTCTGATTCAAAAGTAAGTAGTGTTCTGTCAACCCACAAGTCTGAAGGAAATGCCGATTTATATGAAGATGCATTTATGGACTTGAAAAAATTTGTTGATTCTTCCTTCGATGCTTTTAAGCATGAGCTTGGAAAGATACTCTATCCAGTATTTGTACATATGTATCTCGAATTGGTTTATAATGGCCATGAAGCAGAGGCCATTAAATTGATGGAAAGATTTGGGAAAGATCAGGAACATTATTACAGAGAAGATTTGCAACGGCTGTCCATGTTTACCAAAAGATATCAAATAAATGGAAATGAGATTACTGAAATTTTTAGGTCGAATGAGTTTATGATAAGAATATCTAGAGACACTCTAGCTACATTAAAAAGGCATTTATTAAAGAAAAAACAAAACATTATTTTAAAAATTATCCAAGAGCATCTCCATTTCGACACGTATGAAAGAGTAGCTCGAACAAACTCTCAGATTGATTCAGTTGCTGGTTCAGTGATTGGCGAAGCTACAAGGCAAGAAAATAAAGCCAA